AACATTGGAGCAACTTTTATCACCCCTGCATATTCATGAGAGTATTCGTATATGTGTCTTTAAACAGTAAACCGATAGGTAAAACTGTGAACAATTCTCATCTTGAAGTAAAAATCCTCACAGAAACAAGTTGAAAAACGACACGTTCTCCCCAGTTCGAGTTTCGAGTTTCGAGGTGGTAAAATTAATACCAATATCCACCTCGTCTTTGAAACTCTATATTTTCTTGGATAATTGGGATATCAAGATGAATAAAGAACGAAAATATTCGGGATGGATTGGGCTATAATTTGGTGTTGGAAAATCGTTTCAATTATCAGTGGTTCACTCCACAGGATGTCTTAAAGAATACCGAAAAATCCGTACTTTCTTTACACCCCTGTATATGATATAAAGACGAATCGTTTGGAGGTGGTTATTTCACAGATGTATTCGTGAAGAATGAAGTTACAATTCGTGAAAAACAAATTTGAATCGAGTGATCGGTTCGAGAGAAAATTGATGTCAAACTTAGTGTAAATTTTACCCGTTCCCCTAATTGTGCCAGTGTGTGTATCATCATTTCCGAAAAAAATAAACAGCAACAAAAATTCTAAGAGGGGAACAAATTCACAACAAAAAAGCAACAAAGTCTGGCATGATCATTTTTGATTGAGTTCTCGAGAAATAAGTCTATTATGACATCTTCTATTTTCATCATTTCCGAAAAAATATTAAGAGCAACGAAAATTTTAAAAGGGGAACAAATTAACAACAAGAAAACAACAAATTCTGGCATGATCGTTTTTTAGTTTTCTTGTCAGATAACGTAGTTCTCATGAAATGGATCTAGCATGGCCATCATCATTTTCAATTAAAAAAAGAGCAACGTGGAAAGTGGAACAAATTCTGGCATAATCTTTTTTTGAGTATTCATGTCAGATAATGAAGTTCTCGAGTAATGGATCTAGCATGGCAGCTTATTTCATCATCATTTTATAAAACAATGAGCAACGAAAATTTCAAAAGTGGAAAGTAAACAATACTGACATTATCGTTTTCGAGTTTTCATGTCAGAAAACGGAGCATGGCAGCTTATTTCATCACCTTTTCTGAAGAAAAGGAACGAGAATTCTAAAAGGGGAAAAAATCAGCAACAAGCAAGCAACAAATTCTGGCAGGATCCTTTGTGAGGTTTCATTACAGAAAACGGTATTCTCGTAAAATAAGTCTAGCATGGGATCTCCCTCTATCATTACTTCCTAAAAAAAAAAAACGAGCAATGGAAATATCAAACCAAGAACACCTTGATCCGACAACGAACATCCTGGTATGATCATTTTCAATTCAACACAGAGACGTTTGTTGTGCCAGCCCTATGATGGTGCAGCTGTGTTCTGTAATGAAGAGAAATGGAAAAATTTTAAAATGAGAACGAATTAGCAACAAATCAGCACCACAATTTGGTATATTTGTTACCCAATTCGGAGTTAAATTGAAAAAGTTGCCGTGCCAACTTCTCGTGAAGCTGGAATGGACTCATTTTTTTATTTAATGGAGAAATTCAGAAATTCGAATGGGGGAACAAATTAGCACTACAATTTGGTATACTTGTTTCCCAATTCGGAGTTGAAATGAAAAAGTTGCCGTCCCAACTCCTTGTGAAGCTGGCATGAATTCGGTTTTTGCTATATTTGCATAAGCAACAAATTTTTGGAAAGTGGAACAAATTAGCATCTAAAAAGCATTAAATTATGGTACAAAAAATTTTGAGTTTTGTTGAAGTGGTCGTGCCGGCGTAACGTACGTTAATATTATTCCTAATAAACATACATCAGTGCTTTCGTAACTAAATAAATTTATTGTCAGCCAAACGATCCAATTTCGAGGAAGCTCTTTTAACGGTTTGATTTTCAACCTCAATTTATCACATTTATCCCTTTCTCAATAATGAAATCCGCGACAATTTTCTCGAATGGAACACCCTATACCGGGTGACACAGGTTATCGGGTTACCCCTGTAACTTCTGCATTCGTCAACGGATTTTTCTGAAATTCGGTACAGGTATATAAGCAACTATTTCGGATTTTATCAGATTACAATCCAATATGGCGGACTTCCGGTTTTACTGGAAATGCCAGCAATTTTGCTTTTTCAAATGGAACACCCTGTATATGTTTACATATTCAAGTTCAAAAGGTCATAACAAGTGCAATCTTGATGTCAAATGTCATTTATTCCACAGCCTACCTAGTTGAAAAATTATTCTAACTGCAAGGAAATTCATACACTAGTTGTTGATTTTTGAATGTATACAATTTGTTACTGCACCGAAAAACAAAAATTATATGTCATTTTGTTCCTTAATGTATGTTCTAGAGAGACGGGTAGGTGGCCCATAGGGGTTCCATTTGAAAAAAAATAATTTTTGATTAAAAAGTGATGTGGCTGAATTGATTCCTGGATAAGTGACACAAAAAATAATTTTTCAGAAAAAATTATGTTCTTCTGTTATGTGTGACTCATTGTGAATAGTCTTGACCACATCTCATTTATCCACGAGGTAAAATGAAAAAACAATTTTAATTTAATTTTTCTCGAAAAAATTACATTTGAAATACAGATTGCACTTGTTTCGACCTGTTGAACTTGAATATGTAAAAATATACAGGGTGTTTCATTTGAAAAAACAAAGTTGCTGGCATTTCCAGAAATACCGGAAGTCCGCCATATTGGATTGTAATGTGATCAAATCCGAAATGATTGCGTATATAACTGTACCGAATTTCAAAAAAATCCGATGACGAAAGCAGAAGTTACAGGGGTGGCCCGATACCCTGTGTCACCCGGTATATGTTTTTGAAATCATCATAAAAACATAGATGAAAAGGGGTCCGAAGAGTATAAATAGAATCTTATACAGGCTGATTGACGGTGGATGGCACATTGAACGTTTCTGGAGAACGCTGAATAATTAGTTGGTGTTCTATCGACCTATAATATTCTCCACACTGCGACGTTGCTGCTTATATTGAAAAGTAGCAACATCTTTGGTTTTTTGAATGGGACACCCTATATATCATTCCATCTTCATATTCTTCCTAAAGAGCTGATTTCATCGATCTATCACACTTGGGGTCTAGCGGCAATGATAACAAAGATATAGGGTGTGAGAATCGAGATTTTTCAACTTCCAAGAATTTCTTGTGTCAAAACTATTCATAATTAGTTGAAACGGTTTTATGTCCCTATTTGAACTTTTTTATGTACTATCAATTGATATTTAATTGAAATAGATACAGGGTAGTTGAAAATCTCAATTCTGAACCACCCTGTAAGTACCTATTTGAATTGAATAACAATTGATAGTGAATGAAAAGTTTAGATAGGGACATGAAAACCGTTTTGACCAATTATGAATCGTTTCGACACGAAAAAATCTTAAAGTTGAAACATCCTATATCTCTGTTATTGTCACCGCTAGACCCCAAGTGTAAATTTGAAAATGGATCAATATACAGGGTGTCCCTTTAAAAAAATCAATGTTTTTTTTTATCGCTTGGAGCGCACGAAAGGGAATCCCTATAATGTTCAAAGAACATCGTGCGTTCCTAGGGAGGATAGGGACAGGAGGTAGGTATTGAAGTTTTTTTTGAACTTTTGGAGATTATATGTTGTTGGGAATACTTCCACAGGCAATGAATTCCAGAGCCTAGCCGTTCTATGGATGAAGGAGTCTTGATAAAGTGCTGTTCGACATCTTTCGAGGTTGACAACGAAAGGATGTGTTGACTGGGCTTGTCTAGTTCGTCTGATTGGTATTGCTAGTGAAGGGATGATAGCAGAGATTTCCGAAGAACATTTCCCGTGGAAGTATCGATAGAAAAGTGAAAGGTCGCCGACCTTTCTACGGTGTTCCAATGATGTCAAAGAGGGAGTGAGTGTGGCGTCACCCACCAGGCGAATGGCTCTTCTCTGGATAGAATCTAAGAGCATCAGCGTATGTTTTGGTGCTGAACCCCATATGTGGAAACAGTATTCTAGAACAGGCCTTATCTGCGCTTTGTAGATCATGAGAAGCTGTTGAGGTGTAAAGTAGCTTTTCCCACGGAACAAGAATCCGAGTTTTTGTGAAGCAGCTTTTGCGATGGATCTGACATGATTATCCCATGAAAGAGTGTTGCTGATGGAAATACCCAGCATAGATATTTTGGGCTTGGTGGGGATGGTGGAGCCAGACATTACAATATCGGGCATACTGAGTTCCGCCTTTCTAGAGAAAATGCAGGCTTGAGTTTTGGTGGCGTTGAATTCAACTAGGTTGTTTGTTCCCCAGGCTGTGATTTCAGCAAGATCTTCATTGACAGCATTGACCTGCATGCGCCGTGAGTTCTTAGTTTCCTGGGACGAAATGGGAATTCTGGAAGAGAACGCAGTATGGAGGGTACTATCATCTGCAAAGCTGTGGATGGGGTATGTTGTTACTCCCAACAGATCATTTATATGAAGCAGGAATAATGTTGGTGCCAAAATTGTTCCTTGTGGAACGCCGGAATTGATGCCAATGGTATCAGACGATACACCGTCCACCACCACGTGAATCGATCTGCCTGAAAGAAAACTCGATAAGAGATGGCATAGCTGAGGTGGTAAGCCGTATGATGGTAGTTTGTGGAGGAGTCCTTCGTGCCAAACACGGTCGTATGCTTTCGATATGTCCAACGCGATAGCTAGAGATTCCCCGTGTTTTGCTACTTTTCAATATAAGCGGCAACGTCGCAGCGCTGAGAATATTTTGGGTCGATAGAGCACAACTATCTATCCAAGGCATCAAATTTTCAGAATAATTTCAAATTACGTTCTCCAGAAACGTCTCCAGAAACGTCGAATGTGCCTTCCACCGTGAATCAGCCTGTATACCTTGTATTCAGATGTTTCATCGCAATAGGTATTTGATAGAAAATGTATACTCTCCAGACAAAAAAAAATGATTTATATCTGTTGAGACTCTGGAATGATAATGATGATAAATCTTCTAAATGAACTTATTCATATTATTCAAATTATTAATTACTTCTTTCAGATAATTCCCATAATAAAGTCAGCACCTGTGGAAGAACCGATAACTTTTCTCCAGCAGTACTTCAACCAAGATGCGAATCCAGATAAAGAATTCTACAAAGGTCACAGTTCAAACTTCACCACTACCTACAGAAAACGGAAAACGGAAGAAGGCTACATCTCCCTCTGTTGGGCGGAAACTCTCATCAGGACAGAAAATAAAAACAATAAAAACATAACACTGTCAAAAAGGTACTCGATTATCATGGAATCACCAATAAATATCGACCAACAAATGATTGAAACTGACAATACATCTTGTTATGAAATAGTTCAAAATGGAACCAATGGAAAGAGATTATACAACTTCACGACTGTAAAAGAAACCGACGAATATATAGTAAAGGAGCACAAAACCTTATTTTGCGGAGCTGGTCCAGTTCTATCCGAACATTTCATTGTATGGCCTAAACTGAATAGGAAGCAGATTGAAATAAGTATAGACCCTCTGCCATCATCTGAACTGGAGAATTGTACTGAAACGTCAGAACCAGTTGCATATAACCCAAAAATCAATATTTCTTCCACTGCTGTAACTTTCAGGAGTGTCAAGAAGAAAACCCAACAACCCGAAAATAGTTCTGAAACTACCACAACTGACAGGACAGTCAAAACTTCATCAGCGATTCCAGAAGAAGTAGGAGATCCTCCCATAGTTGGCATGACTAGAAGAGAAAATGAAAATGCATCGATATCATCAGAAGAGGAAGCTCACTCAAGGAACCTGAAGAATTTGCTGCTGAAGCGCGATGTCAACTGTACATACGAACATCAATCAGAATTTTGCAAGGAGCTGTTGGAGCACAGCCAGATTTTGAATGATTTCCAAGGCAATTCCAGTCCGGCCCTGGTAAATCTATTTTTTCCGAACCAGACATTTCTTGAGTTTTTTCGTGAGTTTGATGGTGATCGTGTATTCGACGTGACAGCAACATTCATTTTAGAAGTCAAAGAAAGGAGTTCCAACGCCGCGGAAGCTAACAACAAGATGGTATCCAGAATAGAAGTTATAGAGAATAGTGTGGTAGCTAGTTCTATCAATAGCACGAGTGATGAAATTTCATAAATGATAAATGAATTCACATACCTACTTTGTAGATGGTATAAATTCGATATTGTATGAAGAATTCAAAGGGAAGAATTAAACAATATGTCTCAGTTTGTTTTCTAACCTCATTTATTCTTGTGACATCTTGATATTTATGAGAAATGACAGCATGTTCCATTCGCAGATTGTTATAGTTTTTGTGACATATTGCAGAATGTTATTTTGATGTCATGAAAGTTGATTTATTATACAGGGTGTCCGCTAAAAGGAGGTCAAGCCATTAACCATATATTCCTTGAACAAAAATATGAGTTTCTGAATACCATTTTTCATTTTAGCCTTTCATATTCGATATACAGGGTGTCAAAGTTGGAAATTAAAAACTGTTTTTTTCTAATTACTCGCGTATTCAATAAGATATTAATCTCAAAATTGATACATCACTACAGCACGAAGAGTTACATCGTGTGAGGAAAATAAAACAGAAAATAACTGTCAAATATTCAAAATACTGGGGGTCAAGTACACACTTACCCCCATATTTTTTTTGTACGTGCGCTAATGACTTTCTATCTATTTTTCTTCAAGTGTTCAATCATTTTTCAGTATTTTTTGTTTCTTGTAAAATTTCGATAAAATTATTTGTTTTTAAGATAATTCGAAAAGTACTGGTTATTGTTTGATGCCTATGCGGCTTACGGTAATCTCATAATGTTCATATACTCCTATTTATTTCGTCGAAATTGGAAGAGGGCGTATCTTTTTACGTACGAAAAGGTAAATATGGAAATACCGGGTGCTCAGAGCGAATGTATTAAAATAATTTTTACAACAAAAAAAGTGATAGAAATTTAACACGTCTAAATGAATTGCTCGATATGACCTCCAATTTCTTGAATACACATGCTAGCCCTTTCAAATTAAAGAGAATCTTAGCCTTTGAAAAATATGTGGCTTGTACACAAAATCTTTCATACATCCCTAGACAATCCTGATCTGCTATTCCTTTCATCAAATAGCTATTATAATCATGAATATAATAATTTCACAAGAAATTTACGAAAATATTTTTTTCAAATTTTTTTCGATTTTATTTTCCATTCGTTCGCGCCCGAAAATATTTTTTAAAAATTCGCACCCCCCAAAACCACTCAAACCGATTTTAATTTTTTTTTAAATTTGTTGTTCTCAAAAAAAATCAATTTATTAATTCTTCAAAAGGGTGGGCTCGTCAATCGACCCCCTCATCCTCCTAGAATCATTACTTACCCAAAATTCGAAAAAACGTTTTTTTATTATTTGACCCCGTAGAAATTAATATCACGCCGTTCGATTGGCAAAACAATTTTATTCGACATGTGTCCTCACTTTTTTCATTTTCTTTTTGTGAAAATTATTTTAATACATTCGCTCTGAGCACCCGGTGTTTCCATATTTACCTTTCCGTACGTAAAAAGTTACCCCTCTATCAATTTCGACGAAATAAATAGGACTATGTGAACATTATGAGATTAACGTAAGCCGCTTAGGCATCAAACAATAACCAGTACTTTTCGAATTATCTTGAAAACAAATAATGTCATCGAAATTTTACAAGACACAAAAAATACTCAAAAATGATTGAACATTTGGAGAAAAATAGATAGGAAGTCATTAGCGCACGTACAAAAAAAATATGGGGGTAAGTGTGTACTTGACCCCCAGTATTTTGAATATTTGACAGTTATTTTCTGCTTTGTTTTCCTCACACGATGTAACTTTTTGTGCTGAAGTAATGCACCAATTTTTAGATTGATATCTTATCAAATACGCAAGTAATTAGAAAAACACAGTTTTTAATTTCCAACTTTGACACCCTGTATATCGAATATGAAGGGCTAAAATGAAAAATGGTATTTAGAAACTCATATTGTTTTTGTTCAAGGAATATGTCATTGATGGATTGACCTCCTTTTAGCGGACACCCTGTATATACCTATAGAGTGTAATTTCATTGGTGGCTAAAAATATAGGATATGGTTTCCCACTCGCATTTTCCGGAACCAGAAAGTTAATGTTTTGAGATCACTCTGTGAATAAAAGAGATAAGGCGACAATGTGGAAAATGTCCCTAGGTAATGAGATCATCTTCATGCCTCGGCTGTTGAAGTTGAGAAAAAAAAGTTTTCGTTCATTTGGGATTCTTCTGAAAATTCCGAAATTTGTCACAGTTTCAGGTGACACCCTGTAGCGATATTATATGAAGAACCTTATTTTTGCAAAGAAGTGCGAGATTATAGCTGAAAGACTGGGCTAGCGAACAGTGTAATTCGAATTCAAATTGTTCAAAACAGAAAAAAGTTATTCGTATTTCAACAGGGACAAAATTTTGGGATGCGAAGAAATAAGTGTTGCGCAGTTTACAGGGTCGAAGCTGTTGGGCTATGGTTCGAGTTATCTCAATAGACATATTGAGAAGGAGATAGTTTTTTGGGAATTCATTTAGAGTAATGTGAGTGTGAAGGCCACTCTCTAGATAAATAATCTCAAGTGGAAGATTTTTTTTCAAATATTTGCTGGGGATATAACCATACCGTTAACTTGTCCCCATCGCGAAAATCCAAACGTGCCTCGATTAAGACTGGTCTGTTATAGTGGCTGATAATCAATATTGCCGAGAATATTTCGCCTGTCGAAAGATTATGTCCGATGAACCAGCTTTTCGAACCGAAGGTCCATCAGATATTATCTCTAAACAAGGGCGAAATATTCTCGGAAATATAGTCGCTCTGCCACTAGCACGTGACGGAGGTATGTCCAGAATAATGACAGCAAAAAAAACGCTGTGCCAAGAATTCCACTCAGATAAGATATGTACCATTCAGTTGGTACCTATCGAATTTTTTGCAATGTGCCGCACAGAAAAGCACAATTTTTCAAACATTTTGCTCAGAACTGTGAGAGGGAGAAGTGTTGTTCAATGAAATACAGCTTGATCATTCTAGCTTGGCCTCTGAGAATTGGATGCGCAGTAGACCAGTCGGAGGAGTGGCTGACAAACTATGAGTTCACCACTTTCCTATCCAATACCTCCTCTATCAAAGATTTAGGAGTAGTTTTTGATGAGCAGCTTAGATTTGTTGAGTACATAAACAAAGTCAGTGTGAAGTTCTAGGTTTAATTACGCGTAATTGGTCAGGTTTATTATTAGAAGCGTTAAAGAGGTTTTTTTTTATCACTTGTGACTTCTTAGTTGGAGTATGCATCTATTATTTGCTCTCCCATGTATCAGATTCACTCTACTTCCTTAGAGAGGGTACAAAACAAATTTTTGAGATTTTGTGCTTATAGATTAGGTCGAGGATTAGGTATTCAGATACAAAACCACGATTACTCAGATATTTTACGTGAAGTTAACCTCAAATCGTTGGAAAAAAGAAGAACTCACGCAGATCTTTGTTTTGTATTTAAACTTCTCAATGGACTTATATCGTGTCCGGAATTACTCGAAACAATTAACTTCAACGTTCCAAATAGAAATCTCAGACATAAATTGTTATTTCACTTACCATTCCATTATACAAATTATGGCAAGCATGCACCCTTGGAAAGAACTCTGAAGTTATTGAACGACAAGAACATCAATATATTTGGATTGTCTTACGATATGTTTAAAAAATCTTTGAATAGTTTGTAAGTAGAAGAGGGTGGCATTTGATTAGTTATCGAATTTATATAGTGTTAGTTTCCATAGAGTTTCTAGTCTCATCTATTTCATGTGTTCATGTGTTATAACTAGTTATATATAGTTATTGTTGGATATACGTTTCATGTACTTATATGTGTCTAGTTCACTTGACTGTGTTATTTATATTTGTTAAATTTATACTGTAATGGGGTTTATCCCGTGAATAAATAGATAAATAGAAATACAATCAGTAGATTTGTTAACCGCCTTCAAATTCCATGTACAACAAGTATTACCAGAGATAATGATTTTTTGTTTTTCAACCCCTTTTCTTTCCCCTTAGGAGGCCTGACAAACTATGAGTCAACCACCTTCTTATCAAATACGATCAGTAGATTCGTTTGCCGGCTTCGAAATCCATGTAGAACAAGTATTACCGGAGATAATATTTTTTTGTTTTTCAACCCCTTTTCTTCCCCTTTAGACGGCCTGACAAACTATGAGTTCACCATCTTCCTATCAAATCCGATGAGTAGATTCGTTTGCTGTCTGCGAAATCCATGTACAAGGAGTATTGACTGAGATAATGAGTTATTTTCTTATTCAACCCCTTTTCTCCCCCCTTAGACATCTTGACAAACTATCGATTCACCACCTTCTTATCAAATTTGACTCAGGCTCTCACCCTCCTTCAGTCGTTCTAAGAAAAAATTGTTGAACATATTTTCGGTGATGAATTTTTCTCGATGTATTTTTTGGATGTGGCTAACTTCACTCCCATCAAGAACAGTACAGTTCAATAAATTGTACTTCCCAATAAAAAGGCGTGAGGTGGATATAGAATGGATTAATTTTGATGGCTTTTCTATTGGCGAAATAGTACTTCATCAATTCAACCAAATACAAAATATATCCAAAATACCACATCAATATTTAGTTAAGCCTAAAACATATTCCGGCAACTAAGTTGCCATCCTCAGTATATAACTGAAGATGTTTAATATATCGAATCATAATAAAAGCGTGTTTCTGCAGTTTTTCAAACTACTATATATTTTCAATTTCAACGAGTTGTTTTGTTCTCTCTGTCGGTCAGATAATTTTAGTATTATTATTTTTATTATTATTATCGTAAATGGAATTTCTGCCCCTTTCTACTTTCCATTTTCACTTATCACAATTGTCCACTTATAACTTAAGGAGAACTATAAACACGAACTATGCACAACTATCTAGTTTGGAAGAAACTGTCTCTCAGTGATATTTGTTAACCATGGAATAATGGATGAAGGAATTTATACCTGGATACAGATTACGCGCGTTCGACCCTGTCTATTCAATTTTGCTTGTG